TCGTGGGATCGGGCCTATTTTAGAGCTTAACCGAGGAGCCAAATTACAACTTAGTATAATTTATGCACTTTTTAATATAGATATTAATCACGAATGAGATTTGCTTCAGTTTTTGAAATTGAAACTCATACATTGAAATTGATATACACATCCGCAATGTCGCAAATAATTCAACCTGGAACTCATTTTTTTCATCTAATGTTTCTATAAGAATGAACTAAAATATTGCACCTATTTTGGGGGAAATGCAAATTGAATGGGTAAAAGGCTGTTTTTCTCAAAATTGGCTCGGTCAAATCGCCTTGCGGCTGTTTGTCCGGCTAGATCTTTGTCCGGCTAGATCTCGAAAAAATAGCTGAAATAAAAAAAAATCGCGTCAATCCGACAATCAAACACAAAGTTATGATCCTTTAAAGTTTTAACTATTCATAACTAGTTTTATGCCCTTGTGCTCTCTAGTTTAGTATTAAAACGCCTGCTACTTACATGGCAACGCAATGTTACTATATCAATTTCCACCAACATCAATAATATAAAAAATATTATGATACTTCAACCTCATGTTAGACCTCTAATTGTGTATCATATTTTTGTATTGTTAGATAATTATATATGATTTACTGTACATATTGTCGGAAATGCAAAATCTATATAATCCTTGGTACTGATGACAGTGCACAAAGATCCCTTACAAAAACTTTCTAACACTACTCCAAATAATCAATCTGCCAACTTAGTCACGAAGCGTTATTAACCTTTTATATTAACCTGAATAGAAGAGAAAATGGCAAAAGAAAAACTCAAGAATTATCTTCTACGTTCTTAATAAGGTTTTGCTTATTAGCCTTGAAATCTTCTAACATATACTTATATGTTCTCATTAAGGTTTGGGTGAGCGGCCCCGAATTGCCTAAAATTTTGTGGGCCATCAGAAACGACTTAATAAATCATAGTCATTGCTTCTCTATGACCGTTCTTTGTTTTTTGACGTTTTAGGGCTATAAAACAGGAATTCTTTATGATTTTTGATTTTTCGTGTTCTAATATCTACGCCATCTTTATGAATTCGGGCGATCAGCCCCAAGTCGCCTAAAATTTTGCGGGCCCATTAGAAACGACCTAATGAACGATAGACATTGCTTTTCCATGTTTGTTCCTCATTTTGTAGTGTTTTAGGGCCATCAAATAGGAATTCAGCACAATTTTTGATTTTTTGGGTGCTAATGTCCACATCATCTTCATGAATTCGAGCGACTGGCACCGGAAATCGCCTAAAAATTTTTGAGCCCATCAGAAACGACCTTCGCCATAACTTTTGGGTTCATTTTATGGCGTTTTGAAGTCATGCAATACGAATTTGTGATTATATTCACTTTTACATGTGTATTAATACATGTTGGTTTTGTAGAATATTTTTGACGGATTCCGATTGGCCTGAATATTTGTAAGGCCATAGAAAATGACCTAGTAACCAATAATCATTGTTTCGACATGAATTTCGGGTTCATTTTATGGCGTTTCGCGCAGGGGCAAATATGATGGAGCACGAGAACAATAGAGGTATGTGTGTAGATTTAGCAAAAATAAGGCCCAATGTAAACTAATTGTTAGCATTTTATGATAATTCTTTCCAGGGATATAATATTCTCCGTGGATCTATGTTATCTCCCTCTTTGAGTACTCAAATTCTTTTTTACTGTTTCTTTAAGGAAAATTGGAGAGGGCTGCTGTTTTGAAAGCCATACGTATTACGTGCTTGATTTAAGGAAAACCTTTGATATGTTTAAGTGGAGGTTTGATACCGTCCCAATTTTTCATGACCTTGACCATAGATCCAAGGGCGGCCGAAGCCTAAAGCAGCTAAAGCAAGTGATTTTGGGGCCCCAAATTTTCATATCAATATAATATAAATTTTTATAAAAATTGTCATAATTTAAATTGGTATTATGCGACATAATTAATTTTTGTACAAAAGCTATATAAATTTTTGGAATAGTACAACATATATATTCACTATTTTTCTTCTTCTAATAAGCATTGAAATATTTTACCAGATAGCGTATCCAGCCTAACTCTTAAATCATCGTCTCAAACATGTCGGAAAGTCGTATCAAAAGTATTAAAGCATAAAATTTCAAACTCTACAAATATATAATATTTTATTGAAATTAGTAGAAGCTTGTTAGGATCNAAAATATAGAGAAAAATAATTTGCAACTTTGAATGGCCTCTTGTTATAGTTTGGTTTTAGGCCCCAATCTTTTTGAACTGCCCTGCATAAAACATATAGCGTAAAATAAGCTGAGTATGCTAAATTGCTGCTTATTCTCAATGGACAATAGTTTTCACTTTGGAAACAGAGATTTACTGGATGTGAACATATATACCAGAATATAGCTGTTTAACTTCTTTTTAATCTCTGGTAAACTTTGCAAGACTAGTTAAATAGAAGCATATAGATGCCCATTTTCTGTTTCTGATAAACTAAAGTGGGTTTCTCCGAATTTAATGGTCAATTTTACAGGTTATGTTGCTCGGATCCTTCAAAATATATTATGCATTTTTGGAGAATCTGAGCAACAGGCTGACATGTCTGTTCTTGGTTTAGGAAGTTACCCTCATCTCATCAGAATATTGCTTATTGATATTTTCAGTCCAGAATTACGTCCCCACTTGAATACTTTTAAGAGCTCAATCTTTCAATTTGAGTTGTACTAGCAATCCTCTTGCTAGGAGTTACTAGTGGCATAGGAAAGTTTAGAAGATAATCGGCTTATTGAGTTGCTAGTCCCTTTTGAACATTAGACAACTTAATTTTTTTTCCCACCTAACTGGCTTGCTATTAACTGACAGCCGTTGGACTTGAAGGTGTTCGGTTAACAATGGAAAATGCTGGTCAGAAACCAGAAATGGAGAAACATTCTCAGCATGTTCAGTTCAGTAAAATCACTACTTTCTTGGATCTGAATTTTGTGAAGTTTTAACTATTTCATGTGCTTAAAGTTGATTCAGTACTACAATAACAACAACAACAACAACAACAACAACAACAACAGTATTATCTCACACCGTGGGGTCTGGGAAGGGTAGTGTGTACGCAGACCTTACCCTAGAACATCGGCTTAGGAAAGCATAAGCACCACATTAATGAAGTTGATTCAGTACTATTAGCAAATATTAATTGTTCAACTTTCAAGATAGCGGAACTCTGAATTGAAATGTATAATGTCCTACTTCCCTTAAAAATTCCATTTCTTGAAATTATGAAGCTTCATATCCATGATAATCTTTAATGCCATCATTAACTATTTGGTAGGAACAAGCTTGTTTCTTCCATATGTAATCTTGTCCATTATTTATTTACAGAGAAAAGGATGGACTTATGCTCTTTTACCTTGTTCCTAAATTGTACAAAAAGGCACTCATCAAAGGTTGGACGGGTCCTTATATTTTCTATATATCCTAGCCAACTGTTGAAAACGTATGATTTTCAGCTCCTCTTGGGACCCTTTTTGACATTATGGATCTTGAAGAAGCAGGAGCACAAAGAGTCACATTTAGTAGAAAACTACAATGAGATTCCTAATGCTCCTTTGCCAACTGTTGAGTCCATAAAATTGGTTTCCTTTTCTTTTTTGGGTAACGTGATTTCCTTTTGTTGTTGTGATGATTTCCCTTTATGTATATAGAGTTCTGCGATGTAAATGGAGGATTCATCTGTGCTAAAGGAACACATGATTGTTTACGTTGTCCAGTACTATTTATATCTTGTACGTAGTAATTGGTATACCATTTAATTCCCTTAAACTTGCCTGATTTTTCCATTTAGGCACTTAAACTAAGCTTTGTTTTTATTAAATCCTAAACTTGAGTCATACTATGCATATTAGACACATACTGCTGACATGACACAAAGAGTGTACCACATTTTTTCTAAGCGCGTGAGAGGCCATCTTTCTCTTTAAAAAAAAAACTCTCTTCTTTTTCGCTCTCTCCATGCCACCACCTCCTCCACTGTCCCCCATTGTCCATGCCAAAAACCTCACCAGCAATGGAAAACCACCCGTAACCACTCCATTGGAAAGCTCACCACTGCGGAAAAATCCACCAAATGATTGCCAATATAAGATAAGAAAATTTTGTTCCACAACACGGCACATTAATTTTTGGCTAATGGTCAAAAAACTGAAGCATTGAATAGGAACAAGGTTTAATCAAGGTGTCTAAATGAAAAAGTAATATCTTATTATTTTGCCCGTATGGTGTCGCTAGAAGGAACAAACTCATCCAGCAGCTGCTGCATTCATCTTGTCTTGGTTGTAAATTAGAGATATAGTTTGCTCCGGGGTCACAAATTCAGCATTGTGCTCAATCATCCATATCACTATCTTCGACTTCTTTCTTCTTCAACCTTTTTCTTTTAAACTAGTACTAGTATCCGCATCGTGTCAATCAAATCTCATACAGGTGGAGAACGAACCCTTCTTTCTACCCCTCGTTGGTCATTCCCCTACTACATACTTTAACGCTGACCCCTCTAATCCCTTGTCACTCCATCATATAATCAAAAAGTTGTTAGCAGGAAGCACTCCATTACGAGAATAAGCAACATATACCCCTCCATAACGCATGAAGACTAGAATTTTCCAAGGATGGTGAAACCTACATAGGAAATTAACTAAGAAATGGCCATGTGGCGCACTCACTTAGTGATTTAGTCTTAAAACTGAAAATTAAACGAGTCAACAATGCACTCTGCCCTCTCGGCGATTATCTAATTCAGGTAAAATCCAAGCAAACTCCTTGAAACTTCATTGTCTCACCAAAAAAGCCACCTCATCTAGAAGTCGCATCCAATGGTTTCTGTTCATAACTTCTGCTTGCTAGGGAAAGCTGGGCAGTTAAAAGATAACACATGGATAGAGAGCATGATTTCATAGGATGCAGCTTCTTAAAATATGTCCGTCACATTCCCAGCTGCCAAATCTCACTAGTACTAATATCATCAATTGGAGTGAAATTATGATTAATAGACCCCACAAATGCGTGGCGCAAGCTACAAACTGCACAAAAGTACAGACATATAACCCGATCAACCAATTCCGTTAAAAATTATAGCTAATGAACCTAAGATGGCACATTATCCGCTAGAAAATAAGTAACTTCCAAAGATTACAAAAGCATGTATCAATCATCAATCTGCGACATCCTCTAAAAGCCAGGGCAAACTGCAAAAAGAAAAATGTTGAATCTTGATTTCTTCCAACAGGTTCTCACCAAACAATAAATGAACACACCAATGAAAAGGGCAATAAGTCTACCTGCTTTTGCTATCGAGCTCATAAAACAACCGACAAATACAGCATATATCACAGCCCTTAACAGGGTGAAAGCTGTGTTGATAAAATAAACGCATCAGAGAAACCATAGTCACTTTCTCCATACAGCAGACTCCATCAAAACAAACCAAATCAATGAAAGGGGCTCAAGTGCCCCAAAAAACGCACCACAAAAGAGGCAGCTGTGCTTGCGACAAGTATCTCCCACCACGACAAGCACATCTTCTACAGAAATAAGTCCTAAAGTCCAGATAAGAATCAGAGATATTAAATTGCTATGCGAAGCCTCTAAATTTATAAGGAATATCTGCCAAAAATACATTAGAAAATTCTAATCCAAAATGGCCTTGGACCTAGAAGATACAACAAAATAACAACTGAGCTCTAGTTAGGGTGAAGCAACTGCACACGTCAAGACAAACACAAATTAGTAACATAAACACAACGCACAGTCATTGCACTTATAAACATAGAACTAATAAACTCCCTGTTGTCCTCATGGATGATCGCCAACATGCCAAAATCTGTAGTAGATACCCACAACCATCAGCTTGAAGGATAAAGTTGATTAAATTGCAAAAAGAAAAACTATAAGTACAAGACCAATATAATCTCCAAAATAACATGAAAGAAGTATGGAGAAATCTTTAAATTCATAACAAGGATTAGATATGCCAAACAGTTCCAAAATAAACCTTTGAAGGCCATGCAAAATAACTCCCCATTCATCTCTTTCTGCCACCACGTTCTCTCAGAGAGAGACTGAGAATTTCTCCAGATGCAACATTATAGTATGCAAGAGACAAGTTGTCCTTGAGAAAACCAGCCTTTCCACTCAGCTTTTGTTTGTTTGCAGGAAGCTGAACCTCCCCGGAAATCTTCTCTTTTAGACTGGCAATGCTTTCAGACAGAGATTGCACTGTGATTTCCAGAACTTGTCCTTTGAGATTCCCTTCGTCAGTATTCGGCACGGATACATTGATCCTTGCAGGACCCTGCAATACAACCCAGCAGGAAACAAAATTTGCAAGGATGTAAGTAAACATGAGGCATTAAACAAAGTTCTAAAAGAGACCCAGACAATTATGTAAAAATATTGGAGGAAAAAGTAACAAAGAAAGCTATCCCTACCGAGTGCTGAGCCAAAAACTGCTCTTCAGGAATGAGAACAGACTCATCAAGCTTTTGCCTCTTCGGCTCTGGCTCTTCAGGTAGAGGAGGAGCTTCTTCCAGTGGAGGAGGAGGCGGCATTCCTTGGGGAATAGGAGGAGGCAGAACCATAGACATTCCGGGCTGGGACATCGGGAGGGCAACAAAGGGTCGAGGTGCTCCCAAAGGTGTAAACTGTGATCCAGGAGGTGGTGCAATAGGATGGCCATGCGAATTCATGGCCATTGATGGAGGCATTGGTGGACGATTTACCATGAGATTTTGCTGACCTAGCATCTGTGGGATGGGAGGAGGTGGGGGCCGAACCTGAGGAATCATGTTAACCATAGGAGGTCGAGGTGGAGGCGGAGCAGCAACCCCAGCACTGGCGGAGGTGGAATACTGGACTGTATTAGGAGGCCTAGGAATATTCAGCGCAAGCCCAGGAGGTGGAGGTAGTGGCCTAACAGATGGAAAACCAGGCCTCGGAGGTGGAGGAGCCTGCGGACCAGGAAGGTTTCTTTCATCATTTGCAGCATCATTCTGATCATCTGCATTAGTGTTGTGAGACATTGCCTGGCTTGCAGTGCGACCAATGCTACCTGTGTGACCATCCCATATGACCTGCTTCGGCTCTTCCTTTTTTTTCTCAATCTCAGCCTTGACCGCATTTGAAACTTCTTCTTCCGTAGTACCAAATATATCCGGACGGGTTCTTGCAAGCCCAACAATGTTCCTAGATATCTCATCATCCTGCGCAAGAGTTGTCTCCTTAATCTTCGCAAACATCCTGTCTTTCTGTTCCTTGTACTTTGGATCAATGAGAGAGATCCTCATATGTTCAGACATTTCATTAATAGGTATTAGNTGCAAACATCCTGTCTTTCTGTTCCTTGTACTTCGGATCAATGAGAGAGATCCTCATATGTTCAGACATTTCATTAATAGGTATTAACTCACCAGTTATAGGAGAGACAACATACTTAGTTGGGTCCCTTTCTGCGGGGATCCTCTCTTCAGGCCTCTTCCAGTTCTTCACAATCCGCATAGGTGGGTCCTGTTCCTCTGCAATTGCCATGGTTGCAGCACTCTTGACATCACCATTCTCTTGAAGAGTCGCAGCTCTCATACCTTCTTCGACTAGCTGCGCCTCTTCTTCATCCATCTCCATTTCCACCTCTTTTCCGGGCTCAACATACTCTTCTTCCTCCAACGTAGGCATCTTGCTCCTCCTTATAACCTCCTCAAGGGTCATAGGTGGAGGTAAATCCTGATCC